ACGCTGAGGTGAAGTGTCCCCGTGAGCAGAGGGATAAATGCACCACTTCAAGCTCTTCTGGGAAGGTCTAGATCTGAATTTCAGCTTCTCTGTTCACTTCACTTCAATTGACTTATTCAACAGTAGTTTCCTACCTGTTGTTTACAATATGAAAATGATAAGCGGAAGAATGCTTCTTTTTTTAACCTACCTTTCTGTTTCCTCCTCCACCTCTTACTCATCTGAACCCTAAAACAATATTTAGCACTATTTTAAATTCCACAAACATTCTGCAACTTCCTTTCAATGACACGATAACTGCTGACCACTTAATTACAGGGTGATGACTACCCTGTGGTGGGCTGGCATTTGTAGTTTATCATAACAGGTTTATTCCTCTCCCCTGGATGGCAGTACAGGTTACCCTTTGGGATCTCCTAAAGTTAACTGCATGCTAATACATCGCAGCTTGCTAATACTCTATTGTTATGTGTCTGGACTCTTGAGGCCTACCAAATTATTTTTATTGATAAGGACAAGCTAAATGGACAAGCTAAATGGCTGTGCAGTTTATAGAGAATTTGCAGACTTTCTGTGCTTGAGATCCCATGTATTGCCCAGCCCTTAACATGAGCACAGTGTCCTCTGTCTCCAGCATCACGGAACTGTCTTGCATTGCTCCCTGTACCCCCTGGGGGAATCCTGGACCAGAATGCTGCAAGTATTACTCTCGTCAGTACAATTTATTATCAATAGTCTGTCTTACTGGTCCTCAGATGTTAATTCTCCACTTTATTTCATGCCTTGGAGCATGGAGCTCCAGATAGCCCCCTGGGGGACCCAAGCATGTTTGGGGGAAATAATGCATGCGGTAACTAAACATCTTAACAACATTCTTGGGCAGCCTGAAGTCCATGTGAGCACAGGCCCAGTTTTCACAGCTATTTGCTAAGGCTTTTATCCTTCTTAATCATCCTATAAATCTATAGTTCAGTGAGAGCAATCTTGTCTTGAGGTGTTACTCCTATAAGGATATTTTAGATTGAATGTTTTTGTCTGTTCATCTTTTAAAACAGGTAAAATACCATATAGAGAAAAACATAGTCACAAAAATCACTGTGGATCAAGTAAGTGTAGGACTTTGTCTTCTGTCCGATGAAGAGAAAAAAATCCACCACAAAATTTGTGACAGGGGATCCACAGAGTACCCACCCTACTGGTAGCACCTAAATCCAACTCAATTTTTTCTTTCAGTCCACTTAGGCTGAATGTCAACATTTGGAGGAGTGTAAGGTCCGTGCATCACTTGACTCTTCAGCAAGCCCTGTTTTGAACAGCTGAGTGGTACCAATCTGGGTGAATGGATCCAACCTGAATCCCATGCAGATGTACAGCAGCTGAGATGAAGAGTGTGAAAATGAAACATATTTTTTCCCTTTTTTCCTTCCTCAGTTCTCCCATGCTCGCTGCCTTTCTCTGTCGGACAGCTTTCTGTCATACGCACAGTAGTTAGGTATTCAAACATTTTCAAACTACTGGTCCAGTCTCCTTTGGCATCAACACAGAAGAGCCTAGCTTAGCTTTTAGGTACAGGAAATAATGTAAATATTGCAAAGTAGTGTATTGAAGAGGGCAGTAGATACTGTTTCCTTAAAACTGATGGCTGCATTAGGAAGACTGAGTTGTACCTTAAGTCCAACATTTTCAGAAAAGTTCAGCAG